TGAATGCATACAGTGTGTGTGTGTGTGTGTGTGTGTGTGTGTGTGTGTGTGTGTGAACACACAGACTAAAAGCTGTGTGTGTTGTATCCCCCCCCCAGTGCGGTCAGAGCACGGTATTCGATACGTGAAGCTGCCCTCCGCCTCCAGTACGTCTTCCGTGCTGCGGTTCCTGGAGAACATGTGCCAACATCTGGAGAGTGACAGCCTGTTCAGCTCGCAGCCATTCAGCCCCTTCAGCAACAACACAGGCTTCTACAACAGGACCAAGTCAGGTGGGCAAATGTGTGGACGGAGTAACTGTAATGGGAGAAAGTGAAGAACAAAAACGTTAAGAAAGAGGGAAGGTTAGAGGAGTTCGCTGTGGGCTCACTTACTTTGAGCAATAACATCATGAAACAAATTAAATTATGTTTTCTTTATGTCAAAGATAGAATGTCTTAGTACAAATTGCTTAAATTTTGTGCGGATCTAGATTGATTTGTGGATTCAGGATTTTCTTTTTAAAGATTGCTTTAAAATAGAATTTCTGAAGATTTCTCCCTACTTTCTGGTGTATTTTGTGCAGATTTCGATCTAAATGCAGATAAAAGAGTTAACATTTTCTATTGATAAGCTAACAAGTTTAGACATTTTCTTCTTCCTACATAAGGCAGTCTCTATTTGGCTGCGTGCAAAGTCCAGTACAGGTCAGCATCTTTTCTGTTTTCTGTTTGTGTTCACACAGCACTAACAGCATCTCTCAACCTCTCTTGAAACAGAACCACTGTCCCAGCCTGAGAACGGCCGGTCCAACGACGATTCCACAAAGGATCCCACTCCCATCACCCGCCCCCCTCACACCGCATCGGACTACAGAGCAACAAAGAAGGAGCGGCCATATTACCCCGGACACGCACACACGCCGCCACCTCTACGGCGCGTCAGCTCCAACCCGACTGAACTCGGCCAGATGTGTCCGCCCAGACGAGTCGAGGGTAGGGGATCAAATTATTGTTGACAATGATTTTATTTTATTTTGTAAAATACTTTTACACTGCCGAATATCCTTATGTTTGTATTTTAAGAGTGTATTATTTTGACTTATGCCCCCCTGCTCCAAACTCAATTAATTCCAGAAGAGGATGGTGATCCCTTCCCCTAACAGAGCACCATCCTCCAGTTGGCCATTTTCTTAACAAATGGTACATTTTTGAGCAGCTCATCCTAATTAAAATGGGACTTCCCCCATATATTTTTAATTTGGCCTAATTTTTTTGTACAAAATTAAAAGATATGTTTTCAATCATAAGCAGAAGTTGTACTATTTGATAAAGGTATTAATTTGATTTGGTTGTCCTCTCTCTTGCACACACTCTCTCTCTAGCAGCCAGCTCAACCACAGGCTCAGACCACCTGAAACAGGACAAGGAGGGTTCAGCGAACGACGCCTCTTCCTGGTCAGTTGATGAGGTCATGCGGTTCGTCCAAGAGGCGGACCCCCAAACTCTCGGCCCGCACGTGGAACTATTTAGAAAACACGTGAGTATTTTATTTAAACTGTCTTCTTCGTCCTTGTTAAACGTTAACAGACCACACTAGTTTTCATTCACTGTTTTGTATCGTGCGGTCACTTGGTTACATACACTCCCCCTGAGCTGTTAGTCTCCCTGCTCAAGGCAAATCAGACTTCCACCATTCAGCATGTTAATCAAGTCATAGTCATTTTGATGGAATTGTCCACACGGGAAGTGTTTGTAACGACAGCGTGCTCCTCTCTCTGCAGGAGATTGATGGCAGAGCTCTGATGCTGCTGCGCAGTGATGTCATTATGAAGTACATGGGACTGAAGCTGGGCCCGGCGCTGAAACTCTGTCATCACATCGAGAAGCTTAAACAGAACAAACAATAGAGGATGAAGGCACTCTCTTTGGTCACCGGCAGCCAAACAAACACACAAACACGTTTTTACTCTACAGGGATGTTGCAGTGTAAATCCAGCTGAACCGTAGCTTCCATTGTGGACACTGAGGTCAAGTGCTCTGTATTCATTTGTGTGTTTTTGTGAATCAGCAACCTGCAGGGATATTACAAATACAAACTTACACATGGTCATGGTATTTTTTAGAATCAAGCTGTTTAAATTGGACTACTTTTAGGCGAACAAATAAATAAATCAACAGCATTTAGACCAGAACTTTAACTGAATAAATAAAATACCCATGTTGTTAAAAACATTTGAGATCTTCATTGAGATGTCAGGGCGGTGTGGCGTGCATCAGGCATAATGCATAATGACCTCAGTATGTCTTAATTCCCAGCTACAACCCTGATATGAAGACATTTGTTTTTTAATTTCCCTTCACATTAAAACAGACACACAGTACATGAATCCATCACTTGCAAAAGTGTAATTAGTATCAGATATCTCAGCATTTGTTTATGTTAGTGTCTTTTTGCCTTATTGTGAACAGCTGGAGGCCATAAGTTATCCAACTTTAATTTAGCAGAGACGCTGTAGGCTTTGCAGCTTTGTCTTTTCAGATATCCAGCTGTCTAAAAAATGTTTTCCCGAGTCAGAATTTCAGGATCGATGCTCTCCACTCAAGATTGGAAAAGTCAGGTCAAGTACTGGCAATGAATGTCTCGCTGCATCATTTCTAACAATTCAATTAAGTTTCTGAATGGCTACGTATTTTACAAGCTCTCAAAACCAGTGGATGTATGAAGTCATGAGCATGATTACTAAGGAGCACTAAACAACAGGAGTGCTTCACAGTTATGTGAAGGAGAAGTGTTGAAGGGTTTCATTGCCAAGATGTCGGAGAAATCATCTTTGCTACACAAATAATTCCTGTCCTAAAACCCTTTTTTTTGATAAAAGAAGTTAACAGAGTGGGCACCACTTAAATGATGGATATCTTATTTACGAAGACAACCTTGAAAATCAGTCACTGAAGAGTTATTTCCCTTTTATTTGAGTCTGTTTCGTGTGCTGGAAGACATTCCAGCTGAACAGTTTCAACTTGAGCACTGATGTGGCTACAAGATTGTATTATGCTTGGACAGTCATAATAGAGTTACCCATAAAATGACTGGAAGTCTTGGCATTAAAATAGAGACAACTGTCTAGTTTAAGTGCTGTACAGAACTTTGAAGAGAGAGTACATGATGGGTAAACTGTTTTGTATGAAGTCAATCCAAAAGGTTGTTTTTTAATATAATTTTGTACTGTAACAAATTGTATCAAGCGTAAGTGTAATCACGCTTTTTTTCTGCCTGAAATATTTTTTTTCTGCACCATCAAATAACTAAACGCAGGACAATGTTGTGTCTGAGTAATTAATCAATTAATAAGTCTCAAAGTATTAATCTGTTTTAATTAATACTCATTTTCTGAACATTTCAGAACCCTTTTCAAACCAAATCACGTGTGTTGTAGCTGCATTTCACACTGTTGCTCTCCTGTAGTGGTGACAAGTTGATACTTGAACCCGTCTTGCTTTAATGTGAAACTCAGGTTTTAGTAGGGGTTGTTTCGTAGATATTTTACATCTCTAGCGTTTTGTGTTCATTGCGACGACATAGAGAGACTGCACAATAACCAACTATGTATATTTTCTATGCCTTTTCATCGATCGCTCTGTCTGCAGCCTTTCATGTGTAAATATGCGACTTTTTACTGTAAGTTCAACAAACAGCGGTTGTTGAATATGTTTGATATGGATTCACCCGATTAAACATTTGTTTACATCCTCTAAATGTTTGAGACCCAAGCACAAAGCCACCATGGTAGCTACTAGCTTTAAATAGCATAGTCTTTTTTTTTTTTTTTACCACTTTTTGACCCCTTAAAACAAAGGAATGTCAAACTTGTAACCCATCATCTTTAGTTTCACATGGTTATGTGTTGTGACCAAATCAACAAAAGAGGTTTTTATTTCTTGTTTAATGTGAATATCTAAAAGCCTCCAGTAAGTCATGAATAAAAAATAGAAAAAATAATTCTGTGTAGCATAAAAGCATTATTCTACTCCCCTGTCTTGTGAGGCATTTCTAGAGCAATGCAGTTTTTTTCCACACAGAGATAAAGGGTTATAAGCAGTAAAATAAATCAATACAATACAAGACGAAAAAGATATTCAAGAGCACAGGCTCTTCCTTTCAGTTTTGGTGTGTGTGTGTTTCTATCTGGAGGGTATGGGGGGGGGGGGGCAGGGGGGGTCAAAGGGTCATGGATGTCTTACTTAAGGAAAGTGACAGTCCAATAGGAATCATTGTTCAAAAGATCAGCCAGTTCAAATAGCTCACCAGCAGCACTCAGAATAAACAGGCTAATTATGACTCATCTCTCAGACTCTTTGGGACTGTGTTGTTTCGTGGTTGTGAAGGCTACAATCTCAGCACTGTGCTTCCAGTCGAAAGCCTAAATGACTAAAGTTGTAGCGTTGGTTATGACAATATCGTGTAAATAGGAACTTTCATTCTGAGAACTTTAAAAGCAAGCAAAGGGGTTTTCAAATTCATTATTTCTTTCTTGAATTTGACTAAAAACGAGAATTGATCATCCTAAATCTTTCTTTATTTTCAACCGGGATTGCTCAATTGTCAAGGAGATAGCTCAGTTGACATCTCATATAGGCCTAATCGTAAGTGTGAAACTTTAATGAACGAAGGAAGACCGCAAGACGCAGTTGAAAGCCCTGGGAAAATCTAGTAAATGGACTTTAAGAAAAGCTTTTTTCTTTGTCAAAGTACTGGGGCGAGTCAAGTCTTCATGTCAAAGCAGGTCTCACGTCAGGTCCCTAAAGGGCAAGGTGCGAGTCTTGGAACAATGCAATTGGTGTTTAAATTATTTAATTTCTAAAGCAGATTTTTCTTATTTGAACAGTTGAGACTGAGACCAAGTAGATCTAAAGCACAGCCCTAGTAATTAAATATTGTTTTGTATTTATTTTTTTTGGTGGGTGGGGGAAGGGGGGGGGGGGGTCTGCAGAGTTTTTAAGTTTTTAAGTTAAATCGTAAGTAAGTTAAGTCTCAGGGAAGTTAAATCTAAAGTCTATAGACTAAAGTGATAATCTTTTGTCTTCTGTTGACAGTATTTTTCAGTTCAATAAGAATGAATCTTGGCTGGGTTTTGTAAAATTTTGGATCCTTAGTTTGTAGACTGTCAAGAAGCTTCAGGTTCCGGAGAAATACAATAGTGGAGACTTAAACTAGACGAGATGAAAACAGGGACATCTTGTGGAGAGATTCTCTCAGTACACTTTGTTCTGATGGGGAGGAAAATGAAGTGTCACACAAAAGGAATTCCGTTTCAATGCAATCACATTTATTGGCTTTTTTTCTATGCACAGTTACTAAGCAGCCTGATGAGCTGTTAAAATGAATTAGATATAGAATAATGGAATTTTCACAATGTTGTAACCCCCCCAGAAAATAAATAAATACAAGACTGAAGGTGTTGCACAGCTCCAAAATATACAAAGGCTTGGAAATAATCATGTAAACTTTGAAAAAAAAAAAAAAAACTTTTTTCTTTTTATTATTTTATTGATTTATTTTACAAAAGAAAGAATTTGAAACATTTTTTTTTCTTTAAAAAGTTATTTACAGGTTTATACAAAAATACAAAAGTGATTCAAATCTGTTAAGTCCTAGCTAGTTTTAAACATGGAGCCTCTTTTAAATAGATAGTTACACTATATCATTGTTTTTCAGTTCTCTGTCACATATTTTAAAGTCTGTTTAGTGTTATTCCATACTGTACACTTTTGAGAAAAAATACCCAGTGGTTGTTGTCACACTTCTCTTTAGGGCAAAATTGCGTGCAGACATTTGAAAACAAGTTGGGACCAAGAATCTATACAAGTTATGGATTCTTGTTTTGTTCCCAAGCTATTGAGGACTGAGGTTTGAGACGGCTAAATGAATGGTAACGGGAGTCTGCATGGCAACCTCTTAGTTTGTCTTTCTAATCAAATTGTGTCAGTAAATCATCGCTCCACTGATTTTACAAATATAAGAAACAGTCTTAAAATACCTCTATAGCGTCAGTGCCGGGTACAGTACGGAAAAATCACACTAAACAAATTGACAAAATACTTATGAGTACTTTTGTTTTCAAGCTTTTGAATAGCATTTCATAGCCACATTGCATTTGTCATAAAATACTGTATCGGCCTTACGGGTTTCGTTTACTATAATATGTTTTGTGGCAATCAAAAAATCAACTATGAGTCAAAAGTAAAGAAAATGACTTTCTGATCCGATCAAACTAGTTTTTGGGTGGATGAATGGATAGTTTTTTTTTCTCCATTTCCATCTTTATTATTTGTACATTTCGTATCTAAAGCGGTTTGTCCGGCTGCACCTTATAACTGAATCAGCAGTTTCTCCTGGAAGATATTTCTCTCACTCCCAACTTCCACAGCTCCAGCAAGACTAGGACCCAGCACCAAGTGTTCGGATTCTCCATCCCGACAGATTCTGTATCATTATTTTCTTTACAGTCTCTTATACGTATGATTGTCCAGTGAGTAGATATACAGTACAAGATAAACCCCTGTTTGTGATCATGACTATACAGAACAGAATTAGCCAGACAGTTTGTACATCTATAGAACACACTATTGAACTTGAACATTTCAACGGAAAATACAAAATCTTTTCTCGTGGTATGGAGACATCCCTCAGATAAAAATAATGATATGGTGGTGTCCTTTTCTTTTCTTCGTCTTCTTTTTTTTTTTCTTCACTTATTGCATGCGATAGAAAACACAACAAATAAAACAATGAACAGGAACAAGTGCGCTTCAGCAGTACGGGTATGATGAATGTAAAATTCTGATAATCATTTCACAGCTTTTTACCCTCTCCATCTTACACAGTGTCAGTTCTGCAATTCAGATTCGCTGAGTATCAAACAGTTGTGGTTTTGCTATCTATCTATCTATCTATCTGTAGCATTTACAATAAAACAGTAATATGCTTGCTGAGGTATTCACAGAATACAGTGAATGGTTTCTACTGAAGTACGGCCTCTGAATGTAAGAAGTATATGTGTTGTGTTTGCTGTGATAGGAAGGTGAGAGTTCAAAATTCCACTGATGACAGTTTGCTTCCGTAACACACTGGATGTTCATAGTGTGATACATGTATTGGAAGGATGAGAAAGATGTTAAACTCTAACCCAGGTGTTGGATAGAAAAGGCAGCAGCAATGCAATGGATGCATTGCTGGCTTTGAAATGTTGGTGGTATGTAGTCCTTTCCTCCTCTTGTCTCCTCTCCTTCAGATTTTGTGATATGAAGCTCGGAGGGTAAGACAAAATGGTGTACACCAGCCACTGGGTTGAGCTTTTTCACCTGTCTAATGCTACTGGGTCAGTGCAAATGAAGGAGAGGCAACAAGGAGAGGAGAACAGTGTACAATGTTGAGATTCATGTGTGATGTTGTCAGTGAGACCTTTTCTTCTATGCTACACTCAGGTTGATTCCCTATAAAATTTCGGCTTGTTGTTTTATATAGATATTACTTTTTTATATTCAGTACAAATATACATATGCAATTTTTAATTTATAAGATATATTTTCTTTTCAAGGAATATTCTTGAAGAGTCATGAAGTGCAAAAGCGAGGTGGGTTCTTGGAAAGCTTTCCAAATTCACCTCTAGTCAAACCGATTGAGGACCATCTAAAGCATTTTCACCGTCTGCACTCAATGGTGTCTTTGAAACTGCTTTGAAATGCACCTTTTCCCCTTCAAGTCAGCACAGCAAGACTGGCCAGCAGCTGGAAAAGCTTTAATCAGTCTAAACATACTAGATTTCAAGGTTGGGTTTCAGTAAGTATGTGATTGAATCATGGTGGAACATGGCGCGTGTCCATGTATATGTGCAGGGACTTATAAATGCCCTCTTCACAACCACCTCTAGTAGAGAAAGGCCACTGTGCGATTGTCCAAAATGAGCCTGTATCTATCTGACCAAGCCCTTGCTCCTTCTTGTTAGACACTCAAATCCAAGACAAATCAATCTAGATCACTGGCAATGGAATACAAATGTCACTAAAACCTTTCACAGAGAAAGATTAATTATTCTTATAATACAAAGGAAACACAGAAATGTCGACAGAAACAAGGATCCAGGGGATGTTTCCATATAGGGTCATGCAACATGGTGAAACTTTATCATCATGTTCTGAGGCGCAGTTTTACAAAAATACATGCATCATGTTATCTTTTTGGATATAATTAATGTGGAGAAATATATGATTGGCTCTGTGTGATATACTCTATGCCAGGTCTGCAGATGGAAATATTATAGATAGGTTGGTGCTGTGTTGTTAGTAACTTCCACAAGGAAACAACCCTTGCTTGTTGGCAGGAATATTGAGGTTGGACTCTGGGAAGTCTGGCCAATGCTTTGGGCACCACAAGAATATTACATTTCACAATAATTTTTCATTTAAAAAAGAAAGCAGTTCCTCAGCGACACACTCGCACCCACGCCAGTCAAAACACAATGATTAGAAATATCAGGGGATGTTGCATGTGCTAGTTCATGCACACGCACGTTGTCCATACTCCAATAGAAATCTTTTCTTATAATTTACCAAATATTTGGGACTGATTTTTTTTCTTCTTCTACATTTTAAACAGTTCAATCAAAATAGGTCTCAAGTCTGGCTCTTTTAACTATGTGGGAGATATTCATTTGATAATACAGTATTAAGGTATATCCTCAAAATGTTCATAATCATCCCTTTATGATTCTGTAACACTGTCCGACCCTCTTAAATAGAACAGCAGATCCAAAACTCGGTGCATTTTAGCAACAGTCAGATTTTGTGTGTCAGAAGAACTACACATATTGGCCATGATGACACACCTATCCAAGATAAAAAAAAAAAAGTAGAAGGGGCCATTTGAAAAGTAGGACACAGCTGAGAATAGAGGGCATCTCTCATCAGGTGGTTTTAGGATGATCTATCATCATGGGGGCTCCCATCTGAGTTCTCTGTCTCCCCTTCGGAAATGGCTTGCATGGGGGCCGTGTAGAGGCGGCTGCGTGTACTATAGCGACTGCTGTTGGCTACAGGGGGGATCCGAGAACGCCCCTGTCGAGATGCAGCTGACATAGGCAGGGTTTTGAGGGTGAAACTCTCAGAGATGGCTCTGGGAAAAAGGCCTGGTATCTGGATTGGGTCAAAGCCAGAAATGTGGGGCTCTTGGAGTGTAAAGGGTAGCTCCTCAGCCTGTCTAATGGCCCCTTCCTGAAGGGGGTCCCCAGGGGTTTTAGGGGTAATGGGGCTCTTCAGAATCTCTGTGGCTGACATGCGGTAGCTGGAATCAGACCTGCTACCTTTCTTCAGCAACAGAAGTTTAAACTCCTCATTAGACGTGCTGGATTTCTTGGCGCTGCGGTAGATTGGCACAGGGGCTCGTTGTGATGCGGCAGCAGTGGCTATGGTGGCTGGGATGTTGAGAGGTGGGGCTGGCGGGATAATGACGGTGGCGACAGGAGTCACTGGTGCTGCAGAGCAGAGACGAGACTTTGCGTTTATGTCTCCTGAATCTTTACGGCCCAGGACCTTTCTCTTTGATCTGAATGAGGAAATAACAGGACAGTCCTAAGATTTAGACAGTGGATGAATAACATAAACACATAACAAAATACCTTGAAGTAGCTGGATCACGACTAAAATCTGAGAAATAGATGCAGTACACAGACACTGTAGACAGAGTCAAATACATTGACTACCAATGCAAAATTTCCAGCACCTGTGTATCATGGCAAACAGGTCCTCCGTTGTACGGGTCTTGTTGGGTGATGTGATGATAATGTCATCATCCACTTTGGTGTCATCCATCAGAGGGGAGAGTGAATTATCACTGGGCGAGGAATCTGTAGCACAAGACATCCCTATCACATGTCATCTGGTTGTTTGATCATTTACTGTACAATAGGGTTGGACCATATGTTAACATTTGCCAACCAGCCACCGTCGGTGATTGTCGATACATTCGACCAATTGCCCAACCCTAGTATACAATTGGTGAGATAACCATCCTTTAAAACCTTCTCTCTGTTTATGATTACAGGTTACTACAAGATTAAAGAGTAACTACACACCTAAACATACTTTTTAGAGCTGTAAACTAAATATGACTGTAATGTTATGAGACGCATCAATGCTGGAGGTAAAATTTACATTTCTCACCAAATTTATAAAAAATGGCATTACATTGGTTAAAAATGGCTCAATACACCATCTGTTTTTAATCAGCCCTAAACATTGCAAGGCTAATGCTGACATAGCTAGAGACAAATTGACTAGGACTTGTCATGAAGTTTATACAAATAAATATCTATTGCCCTGTAATCAGAGGATAGCAGTCCCCCCCCAGGCCCCGCCCATAAGTAGGAGTCTTTAAAACCACTGTAATCTTTACTAAAGAGTAGTACTTTAACTTTTACTTTAAGAATTTTGCTTACCTTTACTGAAGTAATCCTCAGTGTCAGGAGTGGTGGAGTCATCTTTGCTCTCTTGTGGCTGCTGCTGATGGGCACTTCTGGTAGCACCTGATAACACTTCCTCCTCTTCTTCCTGCTCTTCATGTCCTCCTCTCCTTGCATCGCTGATTAGGTAAGGATGCGATGCCTCCATTGTGATACCAGGCACTTTGACTGGACAAGTCCAGGGCCCTGAGTCTGAGTGGGATATCCCAGCAAATTCATACGCTGGGGGCGGAGGGTGGTTCGATCGTATGCCTCCTCTGGAACACGCAGCCCTCTGTGGCTCTTTCACCTGCTCTTCCTCTTCCTCCTCCTCATCTTCATCATCATCATCATCATCATCCTGGGAGAACGAGCGCTCCCCCAAAACCCTAAACTCAGGGTGTGCATGAGCTGAGTGTGTGAGCCCTCTGAATTCTGTGTGCGAGTGGATATGTGTGTGTAGATCCACAGGCGAAGGGTGGGGGGCACGTGGCACGGGTCGATGCAGGGGTGAGCTGTCCTCAGAGAGTTCTGATGATGGGTCCATCCGGGTTCTGAAGGCCGTCATAGCCCAGAAGGTTCCAGGTCCATAGCGGTCCTGTCTGAGTAGCAGGCTTTCATAGGATGGAGGCCCATCAGGGTGGCGGCCAGGGGGAGGCGGTTGCAAATGTTCAGGGGAGGGTGTGTGGTCATGTGCTGGGGGTCTGGGAGGTGGTCTGCGAGGAGGGAGAGGCCTTGTGTTGATAGGTGGCGGAGCCAATGTAGAACCACTAGGAGGATATTTGGGTCTTGTTGCAGTCTCTGTTCCGCTTGCAGTTTCCTGGTCTGCTGTGGTAGCACTATCTGTAGATCTCCTAATAGGATGGAGCCGCACTGAACGAAGAGCAGATGGAGTTATTACCAATAGATTGGGGCTGGGAATTGTCAGAGCAGAGTTTGAACTTGGCGGTGGGTTGGTATTTGATGACTCAGGAACCAACAGTTTTGTTCCAGTGGCTAAAACATTTCCAACTCTGTGTTTGCTGTGGTGGAGCGTGTGCATGTGGTGCGTTCGGTGGGATAGCGTGTGTCTGACATAACCACCATGAAGAACATTGAGATCAAGTTGAGAAGGTGGAGGTGGGAAGTCTGGGTCTCTCTTATAGCCAGAGGAAATGCAGGCTCCATCTCTGGGGAAGTGCTGCAGGGAAGAGAGAGAAGACTTCCTCTCGGGCACTTTGGGCTTTCTCTTGCCAGTTGAGGGCGAAAGTGGTCCTGGGAAGAACGCTGCAGAGGATGAGGGCAAAGTTGATGTTGGAGTCTCTGATTGGCTGGAGTAGCCACTTGATGGGGAGGCCAGGCCAGCCAGCTTCTCAGGTGACCCAAGTTTGAAGTCTCCAGGTGGGAGAGGCGGACTAGTTGCCCTGGTCTCTGAAGCCTGAGCTAGTGCCTGGGTTTGGGTTTCTGTGGAGGAGGACGAGCTGTCTGGTGACTTGACACACTCCATGACAGTAGTGCCTGTGGCTGTGCTTGAGTTGGACATGGATGTGTACTCACCATTGTTGGATTTTAGCTCAGTGTTGTGAAGCCACAGGTCTGCATAGTCGGATTGCACAGCACCTTCATCCTTAAATGAGTGTGTATCTGCAGAGCTGAAGGACATGGGCTCTACTATGTCCACGGTTTCACCCAGTCCCCTTCCCCAAGTTCCCAAAGGCTCTGCCACTAGACAAGATGTCTGTAATGGTTCTGGAGCACCTCCAAGCTCTAGCTCCAGTTCCAGCTTCATATCTGTGGAAGACAAGGTACGGTCTTGTTCACTAACCATCTTTGGTTGATCCTGATCTGCCTGTGTGTCCGTTCCAACATCAATACCACTACAGGTGTCCTTCAGCGAGGAGGTTCGTTTAGGTGGTGGAGGTTTGACTTTTGGTTTCCTCAGTGGACGACAGGTCCTCCCCAGAGTCATAGTACCAGCTCTGAAGACAGTTAAGGGCTGGGGATAAACTCCATTGGATCGTGGTGCTGCCACAGTGTTGGATTGGCCACAGTCAGGCCCTGGGTCTGCATAGTTATACATGTATCCTCTGTAACTCTGACTACACTCCCCAAAATGCACAGAAGAGGAGTAGAAACCCTCTGTATCAGATGGGTAATGAGAGACGGACTCTTTTTCAGTGTTGCTGGTCTTGTCACGAAAACAGATTTGGTCTTGTAGGCCTTGTTTGGAGCTGTACTCTTGCGCTAACCCATGGCTCCGGCTCAGATTTTGGGTTTGGTCAGGGTCTTGGTCCGGATCAGTCTGGTCTTGGTCTGGAGGGTATGTCCACTCCCCCTCACTAGCTGTACTGACCCCTGCATCGTCAAGTTGGTCTGTGGCTGAAGATGTGAATGAGCTTGACCTGTGGCCCTGGCCCTGGGGTCTGAGGTCTGAGTGGTATGAGGGATCCAGGGAGAATCCCTCATCAATGGCATTGGGCACAGTGTTGAGCGATAGCTCTGAGTCGCAGTGGGATGAGCCTGTTAGTGGTGGAGAAGAAGGTGGGGGGATGGTTTCAGATGTCTGTGAGGGGCAGGTGGAGCTGGAACCACTCCAGTTCCCGCTTGACGACTGGTGGTCCTCCTTGTGGTCCACATGGCTGCCTAGGACTCCTGTAGTAGACACAGAGTGAATAGGGCTGCTGAAAGTATCTGAACTTGATGAGATCTCACAGCTGCCCATATCAGCCTTGCGGGGCAAGCGAGAACGGCCCCTCTCTATCCAGCTGTGCTCTGGGCTCCCTCCTCCACCCCCTCTGTCTCTCTCTCCAGACCGCTGCAACCTCTTTAGACTTCCAAGTTGCAGTGGCTCAGGAGCTGCCTGGTCATCTGTGCTCTCTTCTTCATCCTTCATCATCATCATCTTCATTCTTGGACTTGGTCCAGGTGGAATAAAGTCCTCTGCTTCATATGGTGACAAGTCCTCATCTTCGTCGTCATCATCATAATTGTCATCGTCGTCCTCATCACTGTCCATCAGACGTCCGCCCTCTCGAGGAAGGCTTCGAGAGCGCAAACGTCCACAGTGGGCTGCAGCACCGGTATATGTGGAATCTGACTGGTCACCCAGGGAAGAAATGTTGCCTGTTGAATGGGAGAGGGAGGCAGGGATTCCCTGATGTCCACGTTGGGCTCTGATGCGCCTTCTGGAGGGAGCAGCTGTACCTATAGAAGGGAAGACAAAAGAGCGAGATAGAGGGACATATTTCTCAATGTCTTGGATGTGACATATACTAAGTTACTATACATATGTAAAATTAATTCCAGATTGATGGACTTAGTTTGAATATGAAAGTAGTGTAATACAAGGGGTCTTGGTGGGTCCAACTTTAGGATGTCTCTGGAAAAATCTTTATAACATTATTTAATTGTAATTATAACTAAAATGACTTTTAAAACCTTTCTATGTCCAGCCGTGTTCCTGATTTGAATTGTAAAAAATATATTTACAATAAGAATACAAATAAATATTGTTGTTGTGTTACCTCTTATATCACGTGAATTGTTAGCGTGTATATATATATATATAAAGTAAAGTTCTAAATGTTACAGGCAACCCCCTCCACCAGGTTTCCCCTCAACCAGTGTCTCACACTGTCACTGGCTGTAACTTTCTAATAGACTCTGCGACAGGTCAAGATATTTAGCATGCTAGATATCTGAAATGTATCTGCGATGCAGAAGCTAGGCTTTTGGCACGTGTCTTCGAACAGTTCCCTTAAGCGCGATTTACGAGCTCACTCGGTGAGTGGGAAATCAGGGATAAAGTCGTGGACTGTTTACTAGGTACTAGTCCGTAGTGCAAATATGGGAGCCAGATTAAAAAACCAAATATAGTTGTCCATTCTTAGAAACTTACATGCTATAAGGAAATCATCTGTTTGGCAGCCAGAGTCACGAGTGTGATGGAGACGACCACTGATTAAGAGGTCTTCCTGACAGAGAGAGAGTTGGTGCGGGTTGGCATGGACAATCACTGTGCGCTCTCTTGCTACGGGTGATTCATCTGAGTCTGAAAGCAAAGAGACAAAGCATGTGGAGTTTCAGTCCTAAAGGGTAATGGTAACATTATACACAGCTATGTTGCTGAGAATCAGGACCTCCCTTATTCATGATCAGATTGTGAATGAATCCACAACTAAGCAATTTTCCTCAAACCATATTATTTGGATGCAAAAACAAGGGTGGAAGCATCTGAAATGTATATGACAATCGTTCATTGTATTATGAAACTGCATGCATGTGCAACCACAGGTAAACAGGTCAAAGCTGAACCAGGAAGTATCTAAAGTTGGGTAACAGTTTTAATGGACTGCCTAGTATTTTTGTTTGCATGTGATTGTTGCTGCTCATTTAGCTTGCCCTCGTGAACTCATGGCTGTATTAGCAAGGTCACCTCATTCCCAGATTTCAGCAATTAAATTGCAAAAATATTAATAATATTAATAAAACCAATAGCAATTTGCCAAACCTAAAAGATTAAGATCCATACAGTATAATAACCCTAAATTTTCCAGGTGTGCTCTATAACATACCCATGTCCTGTTGTACTCTTTTGGGTATTCCTGTGATAGTCTTCCTCCTCCTCAGCTTCCTTCTCCTCTGAAGAACCGACTGGGAATGGACTAGAGAGCAACGAGCACTTGCTTCCCTGTCAAACCCAACTCCTGCAATAACAACACAGAAGCCATAAGCCATATGAAAAGCTAAAGTTTAATATATTCAATTAGAGTCCTGGTTTTCATGCAGGCAGTCTGGGTTTGATTCCTGATTTGGGATCAGTTGCTGTTTGGCCACTTGTTAGCACTGTTGTCTCACAATAACAAATTGCCTGATTGATCCTCACTAGGGCCAACCTTGCTCTTTCTTACTTTGCCTATTGTTCTTCTTTGTCTTACCTGTGACGTTGATGGGGATAATGCAGGAGGAGATGGAGTGAGAATCGCCAGTCGACTTCTGATTTGATGGTGGGAGGTTTTCCTTGGACCAGTTTGTCTGTTTGTCCTGGGTCGAGGGGGCAATGGGGGCTGAGGCCTTGGCTCTGTGGCCTCCCAAGACTTCGCCACATTCGCCTTCTCCTGTCCAGACACTCTGGAGGGAACAAACGGATGGCAGCCACATTATATACATGGTAGGTGCTGATACAGTCCTACAGTTTTAAAACATGTCAGTTAATTAGTTGGACAGACTAAAGGGAATTATTGATAATGTTGATGTATAGCATGAAGTAGATGCTATTTACAATTTCTCTAGCATCTGAAGATATGTTTTTGAATTAATTTGATTAGAGGGTAAACAGAAAGCTATAATAGCACAAATGCTTGATACCTTTCTATTCCATGGAATGAAGATGCAACCTTCAATAGGGTGAAGTGAGTATAAGCACTCAAACTATTTGCACAAAATAAAGAAAAGACAAAAGAAAAACAAAAAAACAGGCAACATGACATGAGTAATCCAAAAGATTAAATCGTTTCAAATAAAGAGATTAAAAGAAAGTTAAAAGGTGAAGGATGAATGAGACAGACAATGTATATATTTTAAATTACAGTCTTAAAAAATCCATTATGTTAAAATCTTGTTCACCTTGTCTTTCAATAACTACGAACTACTAAATGTCTGTTACAGTTGATAGTTCGCCATTCAAGCATCATTCTTACCTTTCTTTGGATCGTCTTTGTATCTGCCTCTCTCCCTGGCCTCTCCTGTGGCAGCAGGAAAACACACACACACACACACACACACACACACACACACACACATACAAACAATTATTACTGAGTGTGAAAGTAAAGTCCTTCACTAATGAAATTACAGATGTGTCAGTGAATGTTCTTACTTTTCTCTGTATGGTCTGGATCTCTGTTTCTCTCATGGCTCTCTCCTTCAAGCAAGGAATGTAAAGTTAGCGCGATAAACAACCCCATAATAACAGAGATATCAAATGTAGTGCTGTAGAGCAATGTTACATGAAACCTCAGACACACAGCACCAGTGCATATAACACAAATCTTACAGCAGGCGTCTACATGTTAGACATTAACAGACATGAACACACAGACAAATTTCTCTTTTACCTTTCTGGGCTGATAGTCTAACTCTCGCTCCCTCTCTGCTCTCTCTTGCTGCATGGCAACATCAGAATGAGATATTATGTCAGTTTGTTGGAACATATATTCAATAAGAATCACAATAAGCACAAAAAGATGAATAAGAAAACTGTGTTTCTTTGCTGTTACTTAATGTCTTCCTTTCCCATACCTTACTCAACATGTACAAGGCAAAACTGTCCAGTTGTTCAATGTTTGAGATTTTTGCAACTGTAGTGAGACTCGTCTCGTACACATAATCCTGAATTGATTGTCTCATTGGCATATTGTTTTACTAGAAATCTCTTAATATGGAGCTGCCATTTAAAGCAAACCATTTCTGGATAACCCCCCCCCGCTTGGTTGATTGTGAGATATGCGCCATCCTTACCGCTCGCGCCAGGCGACTCCTCTGTTGCCGGCGGATGCTGTGTGGCGAGGGAAAGGTGGGCATAGGGGGAGCCACTGAGATAGAGATGGTCACCTTGTTTCTCTCCCGACTCGTGGAGCAGTGGTGCTGTTGTTCGTCTGTGAACCCCAAACACACACACACATCAAAACGTGTAATCCGTTTTACACAACAAAATGCAGCTGACCAAATCATCCTCTCTCTCTCACCTCGGTGCAGGGCTCTGAGACTGAGCTGAGCGCTTCTGTGCAGCTCCTCCAGACATGGTGGTCGGGTACAAGGATGGAACACGTTGTGTTGCTGGTGCCATGGAGCCTGATAGTGAAGCGACAGTTTGCTCTCTATATCCAGGTTTGAAACAGCTACGATGAGAGAGGAGAGAGAGACAGAGGATGTTCAAAGGAATCTCTATGATGACTCTGAGATCAAAAAAAAAAAAAAATCACAACTGGTCTGCACACGAACAAAGTTGGTTCTGTGTTCTGTTTTTCATGCAGTTTTTTTTACCTTTTGTGTGATTCTAGCCAATCAAAGGAACATATTAACATATCTTTTAACCTCATAGACCCATGACCGTACCCAGCAGGCCAAGGGCAAATAATGAGCTGAGGTCCCGAGCTGAATCCCCCATTCTTCCTGCTCTCTTTGCTTCCTATACCAAGTCTGTTACCCTCAAGAACTCAACAAGTACGCAGCACACAGCAGACTACAATTGACAACAAAAATGTGCTGCATGTTGGTAATCCAGCCTTGTTTACGTCTCAATCTTAACCCAATTCTTGAAATATTATTCTAGTAGTTCCAGAAAGAAAATACCCCAAATGGCATCGTTGTTTTAAGTGATGGTTGTTAAAAAAGGACATTGTCATGTCTTTCATCATCATGTCTGTTCCACCAGCATCGGAAAGAAAACTGCAATAAACTGAGATCCAGGCCAGGCTTTACAATTTACCACCGACAGCCAGAGAGGCCTCCCACTAAAGCCAGACAACACAATACACTAAACAGAGAAAAATAAGGACAATGATGTTATAAGTTGATACACAAAAAGGTCTTCAGAAAGTCTGATGTAAGGCACATAACAACACTCTTTCTATATTGTACATTAAAACCTGACACTAGGCCGAGGTACGCCAGCAGGTGGCAGCTAAACACGCCTCACCACTGCAACGCTGCATACACCAGCACACCACCGCACATTGCTCACAGTCCTCTATGTTTATTGCCACCCCACGATATATTTATCAGAAAACACGACAAACCCTACTATCATGAATGATGTACACCTGAGAATCTCTCACTTTCCTAAGAAAGATTAAAACGGTTGATTTACAGACGAGGAGAGCGAGAGAGAAGGACTGTGATTATCCATCTCTCTTATCTGCTCTCAGAGCCCCTTTAGCTTTTATTATGAAATCTATTTCCCCTCTTTTAACTCTGAATTCAAAATGCGACTGCGCCCTTGAAAGCCACACTGTACATCAGTAGCCAGGCAACCTTTCATTGCTCATCAAGGCTCGTATTTGCCTGCAATTAAATCAGCGAGCTCACATCAGCAGCATCTGGCCTATTTAAACTACAAGGTTAGAGAAGCACAGGAGACTAGCTTGTTCACACTAGATAAACAATTACACAGTGTTCTGCCCCAAAGACAGTCAAATACACAGACAAAGTTATCATCTAGTTATGCACATCACACTTTGTGTTTTCAATGATCATGAAGACGATGTTTATATAATGCAACTAAAAGACTCCAAAGACTCCGCAGCTGCACAAACACATGTTTCAAATGAAATTGTTAGCATTGTAGTAGAGAAATAACAGTAACAGAAATTGAAAGGCAAATTTAAATATATTTGAGATAAGACATTTGTCACTTTGGGCATCTTTTTGGTTTGCTTACTGTAAAGGTGAAATTCTGGGACGCTTAATGCAATTCCAGGAGATCCTTGTGTTAGTTGCATAGAGCTGGTGCTCATTAAACTAACAGATCTGCAAGATCTGCAAAGAACCTGCCTCGATACCTGGTTGTGAGTGATAGTTACCATGGATAGAGTTAAACAAAGAGGGCCAGAGAAGCAGAATATTGTAACCAAAGGTGTTTCTCTGCAGAAGGTGCTGACCTAGTTGTTGTGACACAGTTGAATTAGTGAATTTGTTACTGTAGCTTTTCTGCCTGCTAGCCCACTTGTTCCCCTCATCTTTCTTCTCACCGTCCCTTCCTTCTCTTCCTCTTATACTCTTGCTCTCTTGCTGCTGCTATGAAGGCGTCTCCTCATCATTACAGTAAAGTTGTAGTGCTAAAACTGCATTACTCAGCTAAATGTTCCCTCCTGCTTTGTTGTGTATGTCATCAAAAAAAGAAAAGATGTTCACAAGGAAGATTTCTTTTTACTTAAAGATCTAGACATGTTTGAGAAAACCTCTGCTTTGAATCATAATTTGTGTCAAATATGTTTTTTCCCACAATAATAAGGCCACCTTAATCTACTCCTGCTGCATAGAAAAATCCAGAAAATATGAAGATGCGAATGTTGTTAATATACTTCAAAGAAAGGTCTATTCTCAGTATGTTTGCTTGGGGTCTCATGTTTCCACATCGCACTTATTTAAGTCGCATACTGCAACACAGTTGGCTCCAAGATAGTTGTGAAGTTACAAAATCCCGCCTGTATATAGCTGACTTCTATTCAGATTTAAGGTGAGCACGGTGAAATGTTCCCCCTTCAGCCCTTCATGTGAAAACAGCCTTCAAGTGGCGAACTCTGCACATACATCATCCTGCACGGTGAGGCTCAAATGTCCAAGTGTAGTGACATTGAGCAGAGAAGAATAAATCGCTAACAAAACATCAGCAAAGTACTGTGACATCAAGCTTCACAGTCCATTGCCGCAGCAACAACTTCACTAAACAAACGTGTAAATAGAATCAGAGTTTCCCTCTTGGTGCAGTACCTCGACAAACTTCCCTCTGGCGGCAACTCGCGGATCCCTAAAGAGACTCAGCAAAAGATGAACAACAACCCACTGGAGAAGAGAATCCACCAGGAATGCAAACCAAAATCGAAATGTTTGCATTTGGCGTATTGTAGCGTTTCACCTCTCTTCCCTACCTGCATTGTCCCGCCTCGCTCTTGCTGTCCCGCACCACTTCCTCCTCATGTGCGATCGATTGTAACGGAGCTTATGCTGGGAGTTACCCATCGCTATCATCCAGGACCAGACGTGGCTGAGCACACGTACAAACTCCTCTAACGCACACTCTGTCTGCCATGCTCTCTTTCTGTCTTTTACCCATCATCCCTGTCACTGTATCCCTCCATCTCTGCTTCCCCTCATCCTGAAATCTGCAGGTGCAGTGTCAGCAGCTTGCAGTGTCACCATCAGGACTTGCATGCCAACAGCATCAAGAGACGGGAGGAGAGGAGGTACAGTAAAAAATAAATAAAAATGCATGTGATAAAGAAACGCAATGCAAATCAGAGTAATGCAGCAATTCATAGGAGGCAAGCGCTCTAACCGAAGAAATGCTAATGCTGGTCAAGGTCCGTGTGAACTTCGATGCAATTTCAATGAAAAAATGTTTGAGGAGAAAAGCTCTAATCAATCAAAGTGTTTAGCTTTACATGGCAACACTAGGAATGATAAACTTCTGTCTCCATCTTTAGCAAATCAAAAAAATGTCTAAGAGCAACAAAAGTGCTGAACAATATGAATGAGAGGAGAGACGGTGAGAAACGCAGGGATGGATGGATGAGGAAATGGAAGAATGAATCCATGATATGTTGCAGTGCCCCCTGTGTCAAAGTTTAAGGGCCGATACTTGAGGTGTCTAAAGGCGCCAGTGTGCTGCAGACACATTGGAGGGCAGCGTTCGACAATTTATATAACTTTCAAAAAACAAATCCAACATTCATGCCCACTTCACTCCGTGATCGACCCGTTTGAACTTCTTTCTCAAGATCTCGTTTTTCATTCTTCACTCAACTATTCCCGTCACTTTTTGTGTTTGCAAACATGTGCAACACACAGTGTATTGCCAGGAGAGACTGTCGCCGTTTTCCCCATACTTGTACTATTTCCATGTCTTACTCCCCTCTGTGATAGCCGGATTTTCTCCCCGCCTCCGAGTGTGATCATTTGGAACAGCTAAAGACACTTTTGCTACCTGTCAATGCCCATTGTTACAGCAGAAATAAACATGTTTCCGGCCTGGTACAAAAAAAGGTTTTGGTCTCCCTGTTCATGACAACTGTACGTGGGGTGAATTGTCAAATAACTCGCCAGTTTAAATTATATTCAGGCTTAAATGTAGGCACAATTGAGCTATGGGTGTTGTCACTGACACTACGCCATATTTGATACAGTCTATGAGCATACCCCGAGTAGAAGGGCGGGAAGGTGCTTTCAAACTGTCAATGAGTCACGCTGCTCAGCCTGCTTGGGAAAGCCTTTGCAAGAGAAAAGCATCAAACCAGGCCAGGCACCCAAAACTGGCCCTAGTGCTGCTAACAGAAGCTCATTCTTAGCCTGATTGTCACTCACTAAGAGGGGCTGGTGCATGTGGTTTGGGCACCTGGTTAATGTCCCTCCCTCAGCATTGCAGGAGCTCAATGTTTAACCGACTAGCAGGGGGAGTGGGAGTGCTTGGGGATGCCCCAAAGGGGCTTCGATATATAAAAGCATGTATAGGCTGCTCTGCTCGCTCTTGACTTGTTAGTAGAGGGACAGATTGACAGATGGATTCAACAACAGACGGATGGAAACGTCCCGCCTACAGCGATTGGACAACATAGAGCTGATCTTATTTGCAACAAAGGGGCTTCATATGCACTGCAAAGTCAAGAGAGGGCCCAAATGCATGTGGTGTGTCTGAGGAGATCCATCTCAACTGGCAACTGTCAATTCCAACACAAAGGTTTTAAAGTGTGCGATGTACAGTTGGTGAGTTATTGGCTATAATGTAAAAGTGTATTTTATGGCACCACTTCGGCCTCATCTGGCTAATGGGTCTAATTTTGTATTATCTGAGTAGTGAATGAGTTATTATCTGGGAGCCTTGGCTGATGTGGGCTTTTATGCTTTCTGAGATCCACAAACTTTTAGGGAAGAAGAGGAGACGGAAGAAGGAGACAGAGAACTTAAAATAAAGTAATGGTGTGAGGTTCAGTTGCTCAGCTCTGGCTCTTTTTGTTATGCACAGAGGATACACTGTAGTGAACAGCACACTAAAAAAAAACACCACCACCACCAGGCACAGTCATCCATGACATTTGCAATGAGAACACGAACTCTCCACATGTCACTGCTTTAATATTGCTCTTTCTCTTTCTGGCACAGCTATATGATTTTGTGTCCCTCT